AACTGCACAATTATGCACATGAAACAGTGAAGCACAGTTCTTGGGCAGCACAAAAGTGCAATCTGATATTCCTGTGAGGGACAGTTAGTGTAGTGCACAACACAACACAGCTGTGCTTCTTTGAGGTGTTTACCAAATGACCCAAAGAGTGACTTCAGCATAGGAGGGTTAAGCAAGCTCTTGGCAAATCAGAAATGGTCTGAGATATCTGGCAGGAAGCATGCGAGTGTTCCAGCCACAAGTCAGTTTCTTTTACAAATTCTTCGGGTGTCAACTCCTCTTCCAGTCCATCAAAATGAAGTCTCTTCAAGTCCACAACAGACACATTTATTGCACTGCAATCCAATTTTTGGTCAGGTTGAAAGAGGACTTTGGCCAGGCCAGCTGGTTATTCTTCTGTGAGGAACAGACAAGAGTCAGCGTCCATGGGCTTCTCCAAGTACTCACCAGATACGACCCGCAACAGGTACCTAGTGCTCAGTGCAGAGTATTTTCACACTGCTTCACCACATCCGCAATTATATTTGAAGGGACTCTCTTTGTGTGGCTCTGTCCCTAAGCAAGATATGTTACAGTGACAAGCCACTAAAATGACATCGTCACTTATCAGATAACAATTTGTTCTGACGTTATTTTATATTTTTGTCTTTGAAGCAGCAATGCCTCAGCAGCAGAAATTTAGAACTCCCTTCACATTATTTGTGATTTCTATAGGAATGGTTCTTAGGGCGTGCCTTACAAGACCAAACTGCCTCTGTCATCCATCACTATCGTTTCCATGACGACCCCTCTCAGTTCTCCTACCCGGACTTTGAGGCAGGCTGGCTCATCAGTGTGGGTCTGTTGCAAAGGTATCAAGTCACATTCTAAAGGAAGTAAAATTTCACATAAGAAGTAATTGCTCTATTTTGGAATGAATAATAGAAAATTATTTACAGCAACACTGAAATGTTGACCAGTGTTAGAGTGTTGCATTTTAAAATGAAGTGCAATGTGGAACTCATGTAGAACTGATTATTTTCCCCTCTGACAGACTTGCAGAAAGGTGGGAAAATGAGGAGCATCAGATGGATTTTTCAATCGATGTCAAACACGAGGTAAAAGTTCAATATTCATTGGGATTTCATGGTTAAAGAGAGTTTCTAAGGGTGGCCAGTGCTTCGTGGAATATTTTTTGAGTAAATTTGGGCCATGTTGGCTGAAGCCCTAGTGTGCGAGTTCTTTTGGGGCTAAAAAATTTGAAGCTAACGTAAGCCTCTTTTGCTTTTCATACACTTTGTTCAGAAAGACACTTTGCCTCTGAAAAAAAAAGTTGTTTGGACTGACAAAACAGGCGGCAGAATTATATGATCTGTCCAATTTCTTTGTCGCATTGATGTGGAAGGTATTTAAAGTCTGGTTTCTTTTTCAGTTGTCATTTTACATTTGGAATGATGGCAATGGCACCCGACTGACTGCCCTGCCAGCTCTGTGTGCCGGAAATGTCGAGAAGAACCCTCACCCAAGGTCAGACAGTGAAATCAGGAAGGCCCTGACGAAGGCAATTCGAGATGGTCCCCGGGAGGATGATGGATGTGTCTCTGCTCATCCCAAGGGCCTACCCACTTGTGTAAGTTTATGGCAAATCTCATATTACATGTACCATAAAACTCCAAAGTGTGACCCACAGTTTTAGTTTTCATTTGATATATGGCAGAGCTCAATAGCCCATTCCGTTCTGGAGAGATGACTTTTCCCATATTAGTTCTTTGCAGTTCAACTTTGCAATACAACTGTGAAAACAGGCTCGATAAAGTTGAGTTTGATACAGACTTAGGCTCGGAAGACTAACCTTCAATCTTCCCAGCAAGCTACATATTCCTTTTTTTTTGACAAAAACTGAAACTTTAGTGATCAAAGATGTCATTTCTGACAAAAAGCAACAGCTGAACGTCCACAAGGAATTTCACCCTCCCATCTTTGAGCGCACTACAGCATAGAAAGGCATAGCACAACTTATATTACCTTTGGCTAGAGCTGGTCACATGTTTAATTTTGGTTTGCTTTCCTGCTTTCTTTGTCCTAACAGGGAAAAGCAGTTCCCAAGGAAGACATTCTCTTTGCTGTAAAGACTTGCAAGAAGTTCCACAAAGACAGAGGTATACAAAACAGAAATAGAAAAATGCAGCCTGAACCGTAAATTTCACCAAAATAAGCAACTTGCTTTATGTTTTATTTCTTATTTGAAGTTAGTTGAGCCAAATAAATCATCAGGTGGGCTGTGTCTATCACTAGAATCGGTATTGTTGTCTGGGGCTGTGGCTATTCTCTGTGGTGCATCCATGGCAACAATCAAATCCACAGCCACAAGTTTCTCAAGTTTGACATGGCTGTAGTCATGCAGACATATACATATCCTGTTGCTGAAACTTGTCGGATGTTAGTAATTCAGTTCTCTTTCCAGTCCCCGTTGTCCAGCAAACTTGGGGCAAGCACACCAGCCACATCGTCTTTGTCAGTGACGTTCCAGATGACACCATACCCACCGTTGCCTCTGGGGTGCCCAACACGGAGAGAGGTAGGTCGCCAATAGGAAGTCGGTTTGAATGTGAAGGGCTACACCATCTTTAATGGTGGGTTTTGATGTTCAGTGTATACTTGCTTTTGTCGGAGAGCTTGCAGGAAAATTTCCAAGCTAACTCTGGTGGGACTCGAACCCACGGCCTACTTCCTAGTGCAGATGCTTTAGCAATCAGTGGACAGGATCATGTCACATCAATCTTTTGATGTTCTGACAGGGCACTGCGGCAAGCTCTTTGCCATCTTTGACATGTTCAACTCAAAACCTGAATATCTCAAGTACTCCTGGCTTGTGGTGGCTGATGACGATACTATACTCAGGTGGGATTTCATCTCATTACAATGCAGATTTGACCTTCATTATCATCGTCATTACGACAATCACCACCTCCAACCCAACTTTTATCACCTTCATCTCTATCATCACCATCACTAACATCATCACCATTCCAGTCACCATGTGTTTTCACCATCACCACATCAAGTGTCACCTTCACCTTTAACACCTAAATTCTATTGTCAACTTCATCACTTCAATCATCCCTCCATCATCATCTTCATCCCTTCACCATCCTTACCTCCGGCACTTTCATAAACCTACATCATCACCTTCACCACTGACTTCTTTACATCACCAGCTCTTGACTTAAGTTGTCGTTTCTCAGAATTGTCACAGCATTGGCGAACAAGCACCCTAAGTGACGAGCCTCCCTTTTGTCTGTTACAGCGTAGCCAGAGTCCGAGCACTCTTGTCTTGCTACAGTGCTCGGAAGGTGGTGTTCCTTGGGGAGCGGTACGGCTACGGCCATCTCAAGCTTGGGTGGGGCTACGACTACCTCACGGGGGGCAGCAGGTGAGTTTTGGCAACTTTCGATGTCTCATGAGCTCTCAGAAAAAAACTGATCGTGTACCACTACAAAAATCTGTTGGAATCTTTAAAATTGGAGACTTTTTTTTCTCTCTTCTATCAGCATGGTCTTCAGTCGAGCTGGCATACAAAAGCTCCTAGCCACGGGCTGCAGGTGTAACAAAGATGAAGATCCTGATGACATGATCTTTGGGATGTGCGCCAAACGACACGACATGCCCATCACCCACTCGCCGCTCTTTCATCAGGTCAGTCGAAGGGGGCGGTGACAGAGTGGCAGAAATAGGGGGCCAGAGAGACGTGCAGTACCTGGTTGTGTCGAGCGCAGTTTTGGAATATGGCACGAACAATGACATGTATCCAATTTAGATATATACATGGCTGAGGGGCATTCTCTGTTTTCACGCTACCACCATATTGGAACCAAAGTGAGGCTGCACTTGCAAAATAGTCTGTTTTGTTGTCACTGTATCCGCTCCAAGCAGGAACAGGAGAGGGTGTGTTTTGCAGGGAAACCATGGTCCTTTGGTAGGTACCCAGCACATGCATGTGCAGGTTGTGCAACTTTGGCATGGGACGCACTGAGCACACATGACCAAATTATGTTTAACGTCGAGTTTTTGTGTGTGCTGAAATGAAACTGGCTGGAAAACTTCCCACCAGCCTGTCTTGTCTTTGCCGTTGAGGGTGCACTTCAGCTTTGGGCAGATAGGGGGGCTGCGCTGTTTGATAAAATTTGTAAAAATCCATTTGAAATTGATGAAGCTCGCCAGTACAGCCTCTCTTTCAAAAGATTCTCAGGCATGTTTGCTTTTTTCATTGTAAATGAGCACTTCATCAATATTCAGTACCTCATTTATGCGCAGCACTTCATATGTATTCACTGTTTCCTCTACTTGTAGGCCCGCTCCACAGACTATGCGATAAGATTCCTACAGAACCAGACACCACTTTCCTTCCACAAGCACCTGCATGCTGACCCACTGACAGTCTACAGGGACTGGTTTAAGAAGGCAGACGAGGCAGACTCTAGAATCCATGGAGTACAGGGAGAGAGGGAGGAGTTATGATAACACCTCCTAGTCTTAACGCTTTGGAACGGTTGCAATTTAAATTTGGCTACATTAAGGTATGTTTTGAATAACTTGTACACCTTGTTAATCTCTCACTATTTTTAGGACCGGAACTTTTAACTAAATTAATTCAGTTAAGTGAAAGGCTGTGTCCGAATTACTCAGCTACGGCTTACTATAACGCACAAGTCTATGGTAGCGGTTGCAGCCAGTTCCCATAGAGTCGGGTGTAATTTCAAGCCGCAGCTGCATGATCTGGACATGGCCCTATTGATTTAGTAAGTTTTTTTAACCATAATTTTAACACACACGACAGTCCGCTGTCCTCTACTAAACATTGCCAAAAGAATCCCTAGAAATGAATTTAGTGCTACACAGTGCTGCTTGGCACAAACACTGTATTGACAAGAAATCTAGTTTGGATATCGTGAATGTCATGATCTTGCCCATTAAAGGTTGCAGTACACGTCAGTTTTTGCCATTGTGAAAAAATGACGCAATTTTACAACAGAAATCTAACACCAAATGACGCCAGCCATCGGGAGATATGTAACTGAGTGTATTGCAGTTTCCTTGCAAGTCAGGTCAGACACACACCTGACAGGTTTGAAAACTGACTAAGGAATGGCTCTGTCACTGTACACTTGATTACTGAATATTCCAGGATTGAAACTTTGGACAAAAGTGCTTTTAATTTAAATTTTTACATTTGCACAAGGGATTGTTTGATACTAACTTGGGGAATGTTAATTGATAACTCAGAAGTTACAGATGTGTGCTTATTCGTGGTTCTTATTCTACAATATCAAAAGCATCAGAACCTTGAGAACAGAAAAACACTTGAAAGAGTGACTAGGCACAAGCAATAGTTTATGGCAGCTGACAGGTATGGCAGGTTTGCCAATTTCTTGAATCAGTTTATTAAATCAATGTTTTGCCTTCGCTTTTTGCCATAAAAAACAATGTAGTTTACCAGGTTTTTTTCCTGACGGAAGTCTGTTTGTGACTGTACAATTTTGTAAACCAGCGTAGCATATGACCAGTAGGCAGACTGTATGATTTCATTTCTTGCTCATGGGGATGATGCTTGCCTGGGTCTCATGCAGGGCCATCCATGCTTGTTACCGGCTTACGGCGACAGCGTACGCGTTGAAATACAGATGTTATGGTGACCAAAAAGGTTAGGGGGACAACCTGATGTCCCCCTAACTTGGTCCAAACCTTCCCCTAAACACAGGGAAGGCCAACACATGCTGTTTAAATGCACAAGAGTGCGAGACATGAATTGGTGTGACCCCACATCAGGGTTAAAAAGAACAATGTAGCACTAACCATTACTTAAACCTCTATCTGAGAGTCGTCAGCGGCATTTAGTCCAGGGCCGCATCATCTGTCTTTTAAAGTTATGGACTTTCCGCAATACTGGCTAGATATATGTACACGTGTATGAAAAGGTTAACAGATATACTGGAACGGCATTTGTGACATTTTCAGGGTGTTTTATAGGCAAATCGTTTTATTACACTTGAAATGACGGTAGTTTTTAACACAGTTTTTAAGTATTGTATTTTTTGAAACAGGTCAGGCTTGTGTGTGTATGTGTGTTGGAAAATACTGAAGCATTTCAGAGATGTTTGAAATTTGGCTGCACTAAGAATTGTCTATCTTTCGTACTTGACAGGTTTATATTTTGGAGGGAATAAAACGTGGGAGATTTATTCAGTCGAAACTTTTCCTTTGTCCATATTTCGTGCTGTCTGTGTTTGAGAAGAATAGAAGTTCAAACTATTGCGGTATTCGGCATTAAATTAGAATGAACTCATGTGAACCTTTTCCTGGAAAAAGTTTTATTTCGGAAGAGGTAAAAAAAGTCCCCTCAAACACTGAACATGTTGCTTACCTAAAACAAAAACTTGGAGGACTTTTTTCCTTCCGTTTACCAAAACGAACAAAATTTTTTCCAACAACATGGGTTGTCTGTATTGATGAAGACTCGTCCACAGAAGAACTGGGGGGCGGAGTCAGACAGAGACTTGTAGGGGTTGAATAGTCCTTGGCTCTCTCAAAGATGTGCCAGCGGTTGAGGTCAACACTGTCATCACCAAGGCATGATGCATGGGTGACTTCACCGTATGCTGGCCAAATCATTTTTTGCGTTCACGTGGTCGCACTTTTCTATATATGGTCTCGGGCTTACCTTCGCATTGTGCGGCGTACCTGGCCAGTGTGAACAAATAATCGCTCAACCTGTTGAGAAAGATGTAAAAACATGTGCTCAGAGAATGAAAATGGGGTGAAAACTCTGGCAAATTTCCAACCTCTCAACCCTGTTTTTGACCACATGTAAATTGAGTCCACAGGCCCTTATATCTCACTTTATGAAAACCAATGGAAACCCTTAACATGTTGAGCCACACGTTGTCCATGTTCATCAGGACATCAAATTGAGTGATATATCAAAGCAGGGATGGCAGTTCTCAGGCAAAAGCCTGATTTCATGCTTTTCACTTGCGATGTTGGGCTAATTTCAGTCCCTAACAAGGTATATTTAGGATTCTCTGGCCTTCATTTTAGTCCCTAACGAGGTATATTTAGGATTCTCTGGCCTTCATTTCAGTCCCTAACAAGGTATATTTAGGCTTCTATGGCCTTTATTTGAGGCTCTGGACAAGAATCTGCCTGGCATCCCTGATCAAATCAAACAAATACTTTTTCAATTCAGAACACAGAAAAATATAAGTTTGAGGCATGCCCTTTTCTCCAATTAAAGCATTTTTCAAGCATATTTTGAAAGGACTTCCAAAATACTTCAGTGGTTGAAATGCTTTCACGATTCTATGGCAAGGTGACAGGTTTTTGCAATTTAATTTCAAATTTTCAGTCAAGAAAAAAAAAATAAAAATAGAGTGGGCAAAATACAGCCCCAAGTCCATGTGTTGACAAGAAGCTTTCTGTTTTCAAAATAACGATTCCAAATTGAAGTAACAAATCAGGTACTTAAAAACAACATTCCGAACTATTTCTTACCTGTTTAGAAATTTCCCAACATTTGGATCAATTTCATTCTTTGTCACCAATGGAGTAATCCTGCAGAAGGTGAAACCATAAAAAGACAAGTCTTTCACTCAAAATCGGACGCATTCATGGGCTTGTAAGAACAATGTTACAGATGAAAAGCTTCTAAATTAACAAAGGAATTCACTATTCTTTGTTCCTTCAAAATAAAATACCCAAGCTACACTCAACCGATGTCAATCATTGCATAGGAATGAACAAGCCACTCGAAAATTCTCTGCAGAGAAAATACAGTAATTTGGGTATTATGGTCAATGGAGAGATCGGAAAAAAGTTGTTATGAGAGCAGCAAGCCCTCTTTTTAAAAATCATCAATATGCGATCAAAAGTATGGAAATGCATCTTTAGGTCTAAGTTCTATCCACGTTGTGGTAGCATATTTAAGACTGGAAATCTTTGGATTAAGACAAGATTTTATCAAAACTTTTCTTCAACGAAAGGTACCTTCTTTCTGCCCTTCGACACGTGGATCTTGCAACATGCAGTGATGCACTTGCCTTACCACCAGACTGTACAGAAAAAAGACAAGGAACTTTGATTAAATAACCCCCCAAAGTAGTACTTTGGTGCAGGGTTGTAAGGTGCAAGTAGATCAACAATGAATTCGTATCAGGTGTGAAAAAAGTGCTCTTTAAAAAACCCAATATTTTTGTGATTTGATTCTAATTCATGTGGGGGTGTTACCAGGTACTTCCCGAAACTGTAAAACTCGCCCAATTCTCCTGGAAACCAGTGTAACATTCTCTGCTTCTGAAGTTTTTAAGGGACATCAAACCCCGTATAAATGAATGGTGGTTGGCTCAACCATCCTTAGTCTGGTAAAATCCTCGCCAAGCTCCTGGTGGATTTTCAAAAATCCTGGGAGGGTTACACTTGGTACATCCGAGGCGACTTACGGGCAGGATGAAGTTTTTCAGTGGCGTTAGCTGATTTGTGTACTCGTCAATCCAACTTTCAAGTGTGTCCACGCACTCTCCGCTGAATGCTGTCAGATCTGATAGCAGCAAACCATGCAATCTTGGTTATAACACTAGCCTTTTCACATCAAGATGGCAGCTCAACACAACACATTAACAGCAATGCAATATCTTTCCATCTTCATTTTCAGTGAAATATTTGTTAGAAATTTGAAATAAGCTAAAAGAGAATAAGGTAGCAGTAAAGAAATATATCCATTTCTTCTGGAACACTTAAAAATTAAAAAGAAAAAAATACACCACCTTGTCAGGTAAACAGTGCAAAGCGCTGAAAATGCAAGCTTTATTTGGAAATTAAAATTCAATTTTTAATATTGGAAAAGTAAAAGTTTTTCCCCAAATTCATTGATAAGCATTATTCATTGAGAAATCAGCCTCACTGATCAAGCTGTGTCATTCAGAAGGCCACACACATTTACACAGTCAAGGAATCAACTTAGCAAACTGAACTGCACAATCAACCACAAACATCCTTCCTGCTTCACTGAAAATTGGTTCAGCTGAAACTGAAATTTACATCAATTTACATCTGCAGAGCCCACAAGAGAGAACAAGTTGGCTGACCTACCCAGCTGATTGGCTGATGCCAGGCTTCTGGGCGTGGCTATGTTGGAACCAGCATCTTGCAGGAGACACTGGATCTTCAATGAAGAAAAAAAAAGTAAAACTTCCACAAAAAAGACAGTCAACTGCACCCTTCGTAGCAAGGGCATACGGACTACACTCGATACAGTATCATGTCTAGCATGCTTGGTATGCATCTTGAAAATTATAAAATCTTACAATTCAGCCTAAACAAACAAACAAAAAAAACAAACAAACAAACAAACAAACAAACACCCCAACCAACAAACCTACCTCCTCCAGCTGTTGGTCAAACGGTAGCTTGGCATCTCTCACAAACTCCCTGGCGAGCCTGCAAACACAGAAAGACCTAACAAACAATGCTCTTCCCAGGTCGTGAAACAAGCTCATAATTAGCTCAAAAGCCCGAGGTCAGAAAAATGATTAAATACTCAGTTTTGGAGGCGAGTGGTAACTCACACAGCCAATAGTCCAGACAAAATCTGTCCAATTAGCTGTGAAGTGAAATTGCACAAGTTTCTGTGCTATTGTTAACGGTTTTGTTTCATTGTTTGACAGTGCTTCCTATATTCAATACTGTAAAAACCATATTTATGGTGACGCAGCTACCAAGGATCAAGTTATTATTGTCTGTAATTGTTAATAAACAGAAGCACTGAGCTCTACGATGAGAATGTGGGATAACGTCAATACCAGACATCATATTCCCACCAGTCTAAGTCTAAACTTAACGTCGTACTGACCCAATGGATGAGGAAAGTTCATCATTGGCTCCCAGCGCCTCGAAAATCTCATCACTTTTAGGCCGACGATCACCAGCAATGGTCACAGATGTTCCTGGGGGAAAAAAGGCAAGGATTCACAGTCAGTTTTTACTTTAAAAACTTTAAACTGAATGGAAAGAGCAAAAACGCCTACAGCAAAAATGAGTTGGTATTCCCAATGTTTTTTGGTAACGTCATGAAATTTATTGCGTTACATAGTGCTCTGCATTTATTACTACCAGTAAACTGTCCTGTAAAGACAGCAATCTCTAAATAATATTTCAATTTCAATATATTACATTTCAATATTATTAAGATTTTTTTTCAACCCTTTCCCTAATAAAAATATGTAATTTTAAAATTATACGGTAAACAATGCTTGTAAGCTAAAAGTATGTTCCCACAACTTTTACAGTAATTTGCCTTGTTTGCTGGCACAAAACAACAGTTCTACAGTTATACAAATATAAATGTAGGAACACTCAGACAAGTTGGTTTTTCTTCCTGAGGGATAATACAGTGGGCCAAGTCACAACTTCCCTAATGGGTTGTTGACACATTTCAAAGAAATAATCACCTTTGTCTCCAGTTCTTGTATAAATCTTAGGAAGCTTGACCCTTTGATCACTGGAAAAAAAAGAAGAATCGTAACTTACAAAGAACTGTTCATACATTTGTAATGACAGGCCATCTATTAAGGAGGTCCGCTTAATTATTAGTTTAAGGACGCCAAAGCAAAGGAAGTCGGGCAAAAAGAGTCCAAAATATACAGTTTTATTTACACGTCAACTTTTGGGGGTTCAAATTTCCAGGTTTAATTAAAGTTAAATGATTCAAATCCTTTATTCCTTTATTTTCTTTACATGTAATTCCATATTCTCTGAATTCCAGGCTGGTGTGCGGCTGTGGACTTGGCCTTCCAGACAGCACTCGATGGGGCCCACACTGGAAAGGGAGGGTACACTTGCCCACCATATTATCTTTGCGGGTATTTGTAAACTACGGTGACCCCTAAAACACGCTTCCCTACACATGTATTTTGTAACTAAGCAAATTAGCAATCTTCATAAAAGGTTTTGCCCTTACATGGATGTATACGGTATATATAACAGTATACTCAGTGCTCAAATGCCCAAGAGTTTGCAAAATTCACAAGCTTACTGGGGTGGGACTTGAACCCATGACCTCCTGCTTACTAGTGCAGGGTCGTAACCACTCGACCACCGAGCTTACCAGGGTTGAGTGGCTGGTCCGAGTCAGATGCAGTAATGAGTACTGCAAATTATTACAAGATGAACTGAGTCGGGGATGTTAAGTTTCATAGCAGGTTTTGCGATTACACTGCCGTATGAACACATGTATAACACTGTGAATTTTTTCACAAGCTCTCAAACAACTGAATGCCGAGTACAAAGTGATTTTGTAATGTATACGTCTGTGTGAGGGCAAAACCTGTTCTGAAAATTAACATCCTCAACACAAAGTACATCCTGTAACAAATCAATAATGCTCACAAAACTGAAATCTGTGTCAAACTCCAAACCTGATTTAGGGCAGGGTTTATAACGTACATGCAATTCTATTCTTTCACAGTATCCTGGAAACTAGGGCCTACTTACAGAACTGTAATTAAGTCACCTGCCCAATGTGAGCAGGTGAGTATAACATTCTTTAAATTTTCTACTAAGTAGGCCTACTTACGTCTTATTTCATTCCAAGTGATAGATCATAGCATGGACCTACCTCCATGATCATAGGATAACAATCTGCCGAATATGACTGAACCAGAGTTTCGAACTGCAACAGTGTTATCGTGGTCATAAACACTGATAAAAAGGGCAATGAAAGTGAAAAACTAAACTCGAGAAAATACCGCTGGTAGTGGTACATCAATGAAAAACGCCACTCTCAAAGGCACGCAGTGTCCTGAGAACAGCGTGGACAATAGCAATGGGAGAAAATAATGGCCGCAACTACAGCCTAGTTGGGGTTTTTCAAGTCCCTACGCGATACGGAGTACGCGAAAGTTGGGGCTATGCACACTGACTAATCAATTTTTGGGCCCTAGTTTACATGTCATGTTTCACTACAAATGGAAGTAAAATAACCTGGAATACATCCGATGAAACAGAAGAACTCTCCTATTGAGTTCAGGGAGAAAACATCTCGTTGACAGGGGCAATAAATAAAGAAAACGGTTCGAAACAATTCCCACTTTTCTCGCCAAATTTCGGCTGATGGGCGCCGCCATGTTGAAGTGCGACCTCTAGTGACTTGAGAAAGTTCGAGTTGAGGGGAAAGGATTGAGGGCGGGGCAGGGGCGGGTCTTGATCAATTAAGTGTAGCTTTTGGTCTAAAAGTAGTTGATCAGTGTTGGTTAGGGATTGTCGTATTTTGTCCAAATCATTTAACCGAGGCCAAACATTCACCAAGATGGATTTATCTTCATTCATTCAGGATGATAAATAAGAGAAAAACAAGATTTCATCATCATCAAAATACACTTATAATTATGCGCATTCAAATTTGTACTGTTTTAAATGTTTGACAGATCAAGACACCTTAAATGCCATAAATATCAAAACCATAACAATTAAAAAGGGGCGCCCTTGAAATACGAGAACCAGTGGTAGAAAAGACACCCACATGAAAAACTAGATATCCATATACAGACGATTTTTGAGGCTGATATTCAGGATATTTTCAGGTTAAATCCATCCTGTGCTTCGTTTCTGCAAAATGAGTCCCTCATTCAACAGACACTTTGAGTAACCTGCAACAGAAAACAACTATTACATACAACCATAAAGCTCTATAAAAGAAATTCAAAAGGTAAAAAAAATCTCCCAATAAAACATGAAAACTGCATCATATGCTTTATCTTTTAATCCGTAATAGCTACGGAATTCAGTACAAAAAAAACCAAACTTTAGAGAGCTTAACCCCAAATACAGAAATCTAAAGAGCCATAAAATGAGTATTCCGTTAATAAAGAATATACAGTGTATGTCAGAAGAAGAACCACACCCTAAAGTATGGCACAATAGTGACAGAATGATAATTAATATTAATCAATGCATCTTGGGTTTAACCCAACTCCGATACTGCTAATTTTGGTTCACAACTTTACATATTAAACACACTTCATGACTGTAGTTCTTGATAACTTTAAATTCCATGCAAAAAGTAATTTGCACATTTGTAATTTCTACATCTTGAATACTACATGGCAATAAATGAGTCAAAATAGTTAACAGTATATTTCTAGAATACTAGATTGGACGATAGTGTAATTTATGTTCTTCATGCAAATATTATTCAACATTTATTCTAAATTATTTCAGGTTGTGAGTGTAAGTCCTTATTGTAAAAATATAACCCAGAAGGATTACTTGTGGAACAGACTGACAAAAATAAGCACAGCAGGAGTTTCAGGAATGACTGTGGGAACTGCCCCGGCTGTGGCAAATAGGAAACTACAAAAAGTGTGAGGAGGCACATCAAACCTTTGGAAAAATATCACCTACGCTGTCTTTGAAAAATACTGAAGATCAGCTGGAAAGAAAAGAGGTCTAACTTCAGTGTACTAACCGACGCAGGAACAACCAGCATTGAAGCAATGCTGATCGTTGGGCTGGCCATCTCACTCGAATGGCTGATAGCAGACTTCCAAAACAGTTTTTGTTTGGACAATTGAAGGAAGGTGCAAGAAAAAGACGTGCACAGAAAAAGCACAATCAAGACACCTTGAAGCAGTATCTAAAGAAATGTGACATTACGACCAATACATGGGAGACACTTGAACAAAACAGATGTGAGTGGTGACTTTCTGTGGCACAAGGTACATGTATTGGTCACTTCAAAGGCTCGAGGAAATAAGAAGCCCTTCAGAAGTGCCAGAAACAGACAGAAAGCAGACAACAAGCCACCCACAATAGATGACACCTATTGCTGATCATTCGGCAGCAAGAACTGTAAATCAAGAATAGAGGACACACTGACGTGAGGAGGAACAGGTCATACTCATCCCGGAGTGACTGCTGATGACGATGATATTTTTGCCTTGGCGTTTCATATTGTAACGGCAGACGAGCATTTAGGTAAACCTGTGACAACTCTGCTTCAAAGACAGCGCAGTTTTCCGTCATTCTTTCCCGCATGTCTTCATTTTCCTTTTTTAAATAATTGACAATTTTGAAACCCAAGTTGTGGCTGAGATGAGAGATGTAACCTAGTTGAAGAACTCCAAGTCACATAGTGACTCGGAGTTCCTCAAATAAGATGTAACTCAGCTAGCAAAATAAAAAACAATTCTAGACAGTAGACCTTGAAATTCATTAATTGCCTATCACCAAAATGCCAACATAAATAAGCTTGAAAGTACAGTTACCACCAACTTCTGACCAAATATGATCAGCCTTTCACATATTTAAAATCTGACCAATGATGACCCACTTACTTAACATTGTGGACAGAAGAATGCAGACAGCAAAAAGTGTTGTTACTTCCATTCAGTAAATTTAACGACAAACTAATGATAAAATTTAAATTCAGTACTGGGCCAACCATGGAGCCACAAACAGTCTTGAAAAAAAAAGACCTACATGTAACTTCCAATCACTGGTCAGGACACACTTACCCGCCCGGCATGTACACATCAAGACAAATTTGCCTAACTTTCCATCGAGAGTGACTATAGAGTTCTAAAAAAAACTTTCATGACAAATTAACGAAAGTTAAGAAGATTACTAACGTTACTAGATATTACAATCTGATATAGCCCTATAGCCGCTTCGATTTTTCATGGAGGAAGTTTTCGCAACATCCGCCGTGGCGGTAAATTGGCTATCAATCACCAAAACTGCCATGGGGAGGCTGACCTGCTCAAGTGGCTCAAGAAACAGCCGCTGCGTGTCTCCTCCCTTTTTTAGCCAGGTGGTACATGTAGGCTGTAGTGTAGAAGATCCATGAATTCCAGCCCCGACTACCACACAATCGTATAACTTTAAACTTTCGAGCAAATCAGATATTTTCTCAATTTCTTTAGGCGCAGCTAGAGGCCAACTCCAACCGTGACCACCGTGTGTACACCTGGTGTACCGCGATCAACCTTTGACCACTACTAGGCCTAGGCGAGGAGGTCAGCAGAGAACCGAATTTACGGCTATTATTTTGCTAAAATAAACGATTAGCACAAGGAAAATTCTCATGCAATTCTGCAGAAGTCAATGGATAGGATGTGGATTTTTGGCAGCGCCAGAAAGGCCGTTTACGTCAAGGTGAAACCGTGGCCAAACGTGCCTACTTTTCATATGCCAAATTTAATAGGGGAGAAAAAGTTGCCTAAACTTGCACTAACGGTGGGAAACTTTTTGCCTAACTTTATACCGAACCAGACGGACGCGGAACATTTGCCTAACTATTACGCCCAAGCCAGAAACTGTGCTTAAGAATTATTTGCCTAACATACTTTTGAGCTAGTTAACAGTAGGAAACTATTTATTACTGCATGAACCACATCTACCGTAACTGTAGCCTAAGGGAAGAAAACATTCACAACCTTTGTCACTCCGGGAATACTGAATGTCGGCACTGCGCTCGACTGTGAAAGTCCTAAATCGAAAGTTAGGCAAGTTGTTTCTAGACCGCCAGCTCACCTAATGGAAAATTAGGCAATTTTGTTCATGACCAGACACTGTACTACCTGAGTAGAAAGTTCGGCACAATTTTGGGCCACCGTTAATTTGTTCGGTGGAAAGTTAGGCAGAATTTCGCCCCACCGTTAAGTTCTCAATGAATAGTTAGGCAAATTTGCTCACACACGATTGGTCGAGTTCGGGCGGCCTGTTCTTGACACAGGTTTCTTGTTCTCCGGCTCGAACGGCGGGAACACGACTCAAGAACACTATTCTCGGGACAGGATCACACACCACCTCCTCGTTAGGGTTTTACAGGAACACACGGAAAAACTCGTGAGATTTTGATTTTTGAACAGCTGCAAAAAGTAGAGAGATGGCTTCCAAAACCATAGACAATGGGAAGTTTTGCAAAATTAACATTAATTATCTTACACTGAAATGAATGTTCCATTTTATATAGAAAAGAATTCAAATCATCCAAACATTAACTCTCGAATAACGTAGCCTACATGGACGCCGCCATATGTTGCATGTTGCTTGTCACTACCAGCGATAACCGGTTGGTTGTTCCCGGCGTTTGAGCAGCCGACCCACGAAGAACAAATCGAGCTGTTTGTGAACACTCGGGAACAAGCTGCCCGAACTCGGCCGATATCGTCAATGGAAAGTAAGGCAAGTTTTTCGTGCCCGTAATTAACTTGCTGAGTGGAAAGTAAGGCAAACTTATGCATTTCCATCAATTGGCTCAATGGAAAGTTTGGTAAACTGTTTTGTGACCATAAAGCAGGAGAAGCAGAAAACTAGGCAAACATTTGTATGACTGTTCATTTGCTCATTAAAATGTTTGGCAAATTCTTTTATGACCATTACATGTAGTTGGTGTTATATGAAGTTTGTGGCAATTGTTTCACGTTCATTAGCTGTTCAAGTTGAAACTCTGGCAATGATTTAATGCACATTACATGCAATTAACATGCAAAGAGAGCCTTATGGCTGACAAATGAGATCACGTTCCTACATAAGTGATTTGGGTACAGTAGCAAGAAGTCTGTTTGCTGAGGTGTGAGAATCTATGCTTTGACAGAGCAGAATAACAACTGACTGAAGAGTGGACAGCTTTCTTTCCAGACTGAGAGAGATAAGGCGGCATGTTCCTCAACTGAGGACATTTCACAGATCCTGGCCTAAAGCTGTTTTTGTTTTGTTTCTTGTTGGATTTGGGGGATGGGGGAGGGGTGTTCCTATGTACACAATAGATATGGTATTGTCACGTCTCCAGTAACAGTCAATCAAATCGCTCTTTACCAGAAACCTATTCACAGATAGAGCTTTTCATTGGTTAAGGACAGGGCGCGTAAGTTTTCCACTCTAATTTGAATCTTTTTATTTGCTTTTTGCATTTCAGCTTGGGAAATCCAACATGGGCATGTGAACAACCTGAAATATGCAAAGTCTGATGCTAGGTGTTTGAGAATCCAAAATTTGAAGCAAATATGTGAAACTTATATTGCTTATGAACTCTTTTTTAAAGGCAGGGTAAGACACCATCCGAAACTTGGATGAATTTACTTAATTCTGCCATCTTATGAGAAAAGCCAACAAATAATGACAAAAAAAAAACGACAACAGAGTTCTTAATTTTCAAGTAATATAATGTTCAAAATTTGGATAATTCGTATAAAGACACTCAAAAGAATACATTAACTTCATAAGAGAATGAACCAAAGCTTTTTTTCCAACCCCATGGTGAAATTAAAATATTAGGATTACAATCTCTACAAATAAAAACTTCATGATACACACACCTGGTCTTGATAATTCCTTACTTATTCCACACACTTATTAAGGCTATTGTAACATAATTACTATTTGCGCTTATTTCATGAAATACCTGAATACTCAATGTAACATACCCTCAGTACTATTCATAAAAAGAGTTCAAAATAATATCTATACTCCTTGTATTCATAAAACATTAACAAAAGTAACACATTGGAGTTTAACTATTCAGGAAAAATATGTAGAATATTTTGTGTATCATAACAATTTGTGTTATTTCAGGCCAAGACACACTTTTGGATGGATGAAACGTTTGGGGTAACACATCTACAAATTGTGGAGTAAAGCAGTGCAGAGTGGGCTGTCTGCAGGTTGAGAGAAAAAAGCTGCTCGCATCACAGGTATAAAAACGGATGAAACAATGGCAAAGGAATGCTTTTGTTAAGAGTTTTGTTTGCATGACTTGTGAACTTAGCTTGAAATCGGATGCCTTACGAATGGACCAGACAACAGCACAGCTTTTGAAAGAATTACTGGATTCTTGATAAAGACAGAAAATGAAAACTCCGACTAATCTCTGTTTAAAAGAAGGCCCTGTGACAATGCAAGGTCAATACTGTCTCTTCTTGAATTGTCCCTAGCTTTTAGCAGACTTTAATGATATAATAAAATTTTTACCTAATTCCTAAGAACAGGTATGTGCCGATTATATATAACAGGTTTGCCCTTACCCAAGGCAAACCCGTTATATATAATTAACATCTCCCCAACGCAAAAATACATCTTGAAAAAGGTATGTGCCGGAACTCGCAAATATCAGATTTAGCCTCTAATTAAAAGACAATGTATCCTTTATTGCAGTATTGGCGTGTGGCCTAGTGGTTATGGATTAAGACTCGCGAGCATAGGGTCGGGGGTTCGAATCCAGCTGATGGTCACAATCTGTGACCATGGGCAAGTTACTTTATTCCCATTCATCTCTCCTCACCCAGGGGTATCAATGGGGACCTGCGATGGCAGAGATGGTTCCTGTGTTCAGCTGTCTGTGCTTGGAATAGCAGCATCAAGCTGTATACTCCCCAGGGAGCTGAGATGGTGTTAGAAATGTTTATGTGCCTGGTGAGCGGGGAAAATAATGTAGGGCACCTTGATTGGGTTCCTGGATAAGTAGACATCATAATCGATAATACCATTATTACAAACAGCACCTCTGGTAAGGGAACAAATGTCACATATGAAGAACATTTTAAATTATATTGATTTATTTTCCATTTATTTAATTTGGCCTCTTATTTCCAACTCATTGTACCATATGTGAGACTCTCTTAATACTGGTCTACAACTTGGCCTTGGCCAGCGGCCCATTGGGAAATCGACTTAGCCTGAAAGGTGAGAGGTCGTAGCTGGGTTTAGTCTGCATGGCCAGTTCACTCAGGACCTTGCCGACGGCTGGAGCCAGCTTAAATCCATGACCTGGGCCAAAAATATTAGACAAGAATAACTGTTAAACCCATCAACCAATGCTCTTCTGATGCATACAAATTTACATCCAAACGGTGCCCGACGACAGCTTAGCGGAGTGTTATATGATATGTTTCAGATAATGATGTCTTGTAACAATTTCACAAAGACTAAACCCAACTCTGGATTGATATACATTTTTAGAGTGTCCTTAAATCCTCCCAAAACCATCCCCATGCTGGGACCAACTGTCCTCAGTGATGAGAACCGAGGTCCTCAGTAATAGGACCTAAAGTCCACAGTGATGGGGCCTTAGAAGCCCTCAGTGTTTGGACAAGGTCCTCTGTGATGGGACCTAAGGTCAATAGTAATGGGACCTAGGGTCCCTGTTTCACCGAGCATGTTTATGATCTCAATTCAATATTTGATGGAGACTTTTCTTCTACAATTTGTACTTGACATTGAAGCCAAGTAATTTCAACATAACCTATGGACAAGACTGCAACAACTGAGTAGTCTGGTGGCATGGCTTAGGGAGGTATATGTAGATGTAGAAACTAGGTGTCAGACTAGGTGTCAGATATTTCTTGCGGTATATTTGATTCATGCAGAAATAAAAGGGTACTGGACACGTTTCAAATACCAGTCTATTTTCTTTTGTTGCATACTTCCAATACATGTATAGACATTTTTTTGGACTTTCATGCATCTTGCCCACGAGTCCTAAATTTTCGGACTAGGCAAGCGTCTTACTAACTTCAACAAACTCCTCCAAAATCTTTTGGTTGGAGCTGAAGGACCGCAAAAGGGGAGGGTTTGACACAAAATCAGAGTTTTGGGCTCCATAATGTTTTCCAAGCAAATTTGGAGCTAGAGGGCCTTGACAAGCACAGCTAGCTGATTTTAGAGCCAAGCCCAGACCAGAAATTGTGAGGTGTTATAGGGCAAGCTCACCAGAAAAGCCACACCCGATGATGATGTTGTGGTACTGGGGATGGGTGTCCAGGAAGAAACTTGCATCTGGGGTGAACTGTGGACGGGAAAGATGGGCCTGAACATCGTTAACTGTGATCACTGAAGAGGGCACCATTAGAAACACCCACTTCAGACCGGGATATGTGCTCGCAAAAGGGGTAATTCACTGTACAGTGCGCCACCAAGAGGTTGCCATGGAGAGCCCATTTTCCAAGTTTTGGGCTGACAAATGCATGGCTGCCTTTCCGTGATTTGCATTTGAACATATGACAGTACACAGTTTGCGACCCAATCTAACAAATACAGTCAAAAGTTGCCAGAGCTGCTTCAGAGTCAGGGGCCCTCAAGAGACTCCTGCACAATGTAAAGAAACAGGAATCCACGTCACTCTTCTCCCCCATAATCTCATGAGGATACCAAACTGAGTGATACATCCAAACAAAGAGCACGGTTTGCTCTTTCTAATGCAAACTAAAACAAAGATACCAACAAAAAGACCCTAAGTTTCATTTTGAAGGAGCTGGTCATGTTGGTTATGAGCACTTCAATAACTGTTGCTAATTTGTTTGTGAACATGGCAGCAAAGGCAAGGTCTGTTGAATGTTTTGTTTCTGTGGATGGTAGTCTTTTCGTCAGTAAGATGTTAAAAACAAAACAGACGTACAGTGTACATGCAAGTCTCTGCAATAACAGGAACATGCTCCAGACCGGGAAAATACTGCCGGACAAAAGCTTGAAGTCTCTCCATCTGGAATTGGTGGTCAGCTATAGGGACATCTCGCTCATCCGGGTCGCAGGATTGATGTTCTGTGTGATCGCACAGCTAAGAGGACCAGACAGAGAAAACGTCTGCAACACTGAACTACCTGCCACTAATTCTGAGTCCTGATTGGCTGATCCACGGTCACCTGGGTTCACTAGCACACAAGCGTGTCGGTGGAATTCTGATCATGCGTGGATTTGTCAACTCTGGGTTATGAAACAGAACTGAATGGAAAATGATTGCACTGGCACTACATAAAGAGAAGTGTTTGACTGAAAATAAGTAATTGGCTCAGATTTTGGCTACTGCTTAAAATACACGTATGCCTACTGGAAACCCTGCCTGCCCAGCTGATTTTCTTTGTGGGTCTATACACTGACAACCTTGGAAAATATACTTAATTGTGACAGACAGTCAGATTAGATACAGTTCTTTTTAACTTCCAAACATTGACAGATTGTGGGTGCTCTACGTAAGACAGTCCCTATACAAGGGATGTAAGACAGACTAACCTCACAGACACAGACAGATAGCCAGATGGGACTACAACACTTGAAACAAACAATCCTTCCTAAGGCCCTGGTGCTACTCTCAATTTGTACATATGGAATATCAGCAATGTGACAGACACAGACAGACAGACACATGGGATAAACCTTGGGACGAACAGACCTTGACAAGCCCTGGGTATTCCTCGCTGGGTAAGGCGTAAGTGTGCTCGTCTTTGAAATAGGCGATGAACACTGGCATATTATTGAATGTTCCAGGCTTTTTCTCCTTCCAATAGCAAACATCCAATCTCCATGGCTAGAATGAAAAAAGAAAAACAAAACAAAAAAACCCCCAAAACCTGTTAACTTTTTCAAAATTTTACAGCAAAGTTTGTCCCGAGCCAACAAGGCTCATCTAAATTGATGTTTATCTTCAGTTTCTTGAAAGTACTCAGAGTAGTTGCACTGTTTGGAATGGCATGTCACTGCAGGTTATCCTTTTAGGGTAATTGTCACAAAGCTCGGACCCATTTCTGCTGTGGGATGCAGAGGGACGTTTTGGCATGGAGAGGGACGTTGACGGCAAAAACGTTGTACTCATCTCAATTCTGGAAATGTTTAGCAAAAGTGCTCTGTGATGGCAAATTTCCTTGGTGGATATATTCTTGTGTGACATATGTTATGGTTGAGCCCATCACAAGACCAGGTAGGAGTAACATGGTGAAAAATGACTAAGGAAAGCTTATGTCACAGGACAGCTCAACTGATGATCAGCTTGCAACTTGGCTTACGATTTGTGAAGGACTTGCTGGATATCGGCAGCTACAACACTAGCATGTGGTATGAATCATCTTAACCCTAAAAGGCTCAGCCTGGCTAGTGCACTGCAGTGATATCACAAAAAAAGTCGAGGGCGGGTGGATTCCGCCCCCCCTCCAGCTGTTAGGATAAGGCCAGCTTGAAGTCAGCAACACTGTAATTAGGAAACTGCAGTATTTTGTTTCGTGTTTTTCCTTAAATTCTCACCTTGAGCGGTGGGTCCAGACCCAGGGGTTTCAACATCTTGGAGGCCCATGGTCCAGGCGTCAATACAACACTCTTGCATCGATAGTGGCCTTTCCTTGTGACGACGATCACCGTCGTTCCTGGCAGGATCTGTAAGACTGGTTCGCTATCCCGTATGGTACCACCGTAATTCTGAAATTCACTCTAGTAATGGCCAATTTTAAAAAGGGAGAATAAATCCCGGATTAGATTCATCTGATTGTTACGGCAAGCCAGAGATTCACCATGCAAGCGGCACCCTCAATAACAGAATTGTGTGACCTGTATGTTAATCCATTGTCAACATTGTAAACTCTGGACAAGACGGCTCTTCAATGTCAGCCTGACAGTTAAGGCTGAAATTTTTTGTAATTTTAGGTTTCTTTAATAGTCCAAAACAGCTGCAGGTTGAATGACTAAGGCTTTACAATGACATATAGAATGAGCGGGAACTCAAAAGAAATTCATATCTGAAAGCTGGCAGAATCCAACCCAAGTAATTTGTTTAACATGCACGTATGGGCCTTGAGCTGGAGCAAGAGAGGGCACTACATGTATTTCCTTAGCCACAGAGGCTCCTTTGCACATTGCTGGTTCACATACGACTATGAAATGCAAGCGTTGCAGTCGCATTGCTATTAACAAAATGAATACTCCTGATCAACATGGCTCTTTTCAACCCATGAGGGGGTGCTTCTTTTCGAGGTGGATAGGGAGATTCTTCAGTGTGCTAAAACACATTTGAATGCCTGGACATTTTGAAGTGTCTTCCTGCTAAAATGCCTTTTAGAAGGCTTTTCACTGAGGTCGAATGGGGAAACTTTGACCCCATGGTGTGGCAGTATTCCGTCAGTCAAATGACAACCAAATTTTTTGTTCTGGCTGGCAACGTACTTGCATGGCTCTCAAGCACTTGTCGGCGAGTAAGACTCCTCCATCGTGCTCGATGATCCCCACTGTGTCTTCTGAGATCCGTAGCCCCGGGAGCCTTCGCCGGATCTCTGGTGCAGTCAGCTTCGTGTATTTATGTCCAATTGAGTCCAGGGCCTGCCGCATTTGACTGAGATCCTTGTATGGCGGACCACTTATGACGAGCAAGCCCTCCTTCCTGGAAGATGGCAACCACTCACAATAAGTGAGACATGAACACCCCCTAAGAATTGCGATGAATGAAGCGATCCCAAACTCCGTTCACATTGATTCCTGAGGCTGCACTAATACCCAGGGAACCAATTGTTGGGGACTTGGTCTCACACATGTTGGACGGTGTGAAATTTAAATGACTTTCCAAAATTTTCAGCAATAATGGATTTAATAACTCCTCTATCAAACTACTGGAGTCAACTTTGCACAACACTCAATGTACACCAGTGACTGTGGACATAGTATTTAAATTGGGTTCTTGCGACAAGAACCAAAAAAGGGATATGAAACGCATAAGAGTACCATAGTAACAAATATCTCCCCCAGTTGTGAGTAAAGACTAAGGGCGGATTGAGGATGACTTTTCACAGTGCACAGGGCTGAAGTACAGATTGTCATTTACTAAATATATCAGGACTTTATTGCTGGCTTCATCTTAAATATCCGGCGGTGGCGTCATTTTCTCAAACGAGACCCAGCTTCAAAAAATCCATTCATCTTCAATCCTCCAGTTTCTGGGCTTATGCACAAAATGAAAGGTACCTGAATCCTCAATCCTCCAAAATCGTCCATGGCCCTACTTTGGGTTTTTTGCCTTTTTTTGTTTTTTGGGGGAGGGGGAGGGTTGGGCACATCAGGTTGGTTGCTGGGCTGAAGCTGGTTTTTTGCAGAGTTGGCTAATGGCTTTACTTTTGTAATAAACAAAGCAGACATGTGCCTTTGTTTTAACACACTTCATTTAAGGATTTTGTCATTTATGACCAGCGGCAGTGAACAATGGAACACACTGTCCTTGGGTACATGCATATGACCATACGCACCACTATGTGACCGATTTTTAGTGCTTCATTCACCATTCATCCTCAATCCTCCAAAATCCTCCAGCTTTTAAATCACCATTCATCCTCAATCCTCCAAAATCCTCCAATGTTTAAATCATCAATCCTCCAAAACCATCTGGAGGATTTTTGAGGATTGAGGTGGGTTAGGGTTGGACAGCAACTGAGTGAAAATATTTCCGAGGGTTGGCCTCATGTCAGCAGTATTTCAGCTCTGGATGAATGGAACTTCAATAAACCCTAACTCCAAAGCATTGGTGGTATGCATGTACATGTATGATGTAACCTTCACCTTGGTCAGGCAAAAAAAACACCCTCCTGCTGCTTCAAAT